GACCACGGTGGGGGAAGCGACGGTAGTAGGAGACGGACTCGTCAAAGGTGACGTCACGAGAGTGAAAGAAGCGGTGAGACGGCGGGTGGTAAAAGTGCCAGTCGGACGCGTTAAGGGGAAAACCGAGGAAGACGCAGGGAAGGGTGCGGGCAGTGAGCTTGTCCGTGCCGGAGGCACGAACGTGAGCAAGGCAGCCCCAGATGTGGAACGCAGACGCGTCACCAGGAGACCCAGTCCACAGACGGGTCGGCGAAACTGCGGCTGCTGAGGGTGCGGCCACAAGTTAAGCTGGTGAGAAGCGTAGCGCACAGCGAACGGCCACAGAAAATGGGGTGCATCGGCATGGATCATGGAGGTGCGAGCCACCTCCATGACCAAACCGATGCGTCGCTCAGCGACCCCATTCTGCTGTGGGGAGTCCGGTAGGGTGAACGTCTGAGTGATGCCTCCCGCACGACAAAAGCGACCAAGGACACCTGAGGCAAACTCGCCACCACGGTCTGAGTGGAGATGCAAGATAGGGAGACCGCCGTGGACACGCGCAGAGACAAGCCAAGGGATGAGAGCGCCAAGCACGTCAGCCTGCGCTCCAGGGGAAAGACTGTGGTGTAGCGAGTGAAGTCGTCGACAAGCACAAGGAAGTAGCGCTCTCGACGCGGCCCAGGGACGGGGGCGGGGCCCCAGACGTCCAGGTGCAGGGTCTGCAGCGGCGTGGCGGTAGGGGGAAACGAGGAGGATGAGGGGCAACGGCGAAGCCGACCCTCAACGCAAGGCGTGCAAGGTGGGGCTGGGGAGGAGGGAAACGCAGGGAGAGAACCTGGGAGACAAGGACAAGACCGTGCTGGGACATGTGACGCAAACGCGGGAGCGCAGGGTGACCTAGGCGGTGGTGCCAAAAGGAGGGTCAGGTGAGTGAGAGACCAACAAGAGCACGCAGCAGCAACCTGGGTGAGCGTTCCAGCCGGGGGGGTCACGGTGTCCAGAGTGAACAGGCCGGACACCGGGTCCCGGGGGAACGTGGACAGGGGGCACCAGTGGCGGCCTCGGTACAGACAGCATACCGCTCGTGACCAGGGAACGTAGTGGTGACGCCAAGGTCCTGGAGGCAGCCGACACCAACTAGGTTCCTGGAGAACGAGGGGATATGCAGACCTGTAAGAGAGCCCGAAGGAACCGCCGGACAGGGAAGGGTGGTGGAACTGCGGGCGACGACCGGACCGCTAGAGGGGTCAGCGAGAGAAACGGCAGCAGGGACGGGAAGCGGCGTCAGTGTGGTGGAGTCGCGGAAGAAACACCGAGAAGCGCAGAGTCCAAGGTGAAGGAAAGCGAAGCAGAGGCGTCTGGCGACGGAACGACGGCGGAAGCACCAAGACTACACAAAGCAGGGGATCCTACGCCTGACGCAGCAGGGGAGGCTAAGCTAGGCACACCTACACTAGGCAACAGTGAGTAATAAGCTGGAAGCACACTAGAGTCATCAGCATACATCACATGCAGAGCATAAACAATGGCATCCATGTCCATATCAAAGATCTGAATCTTACGACTAAGCAAACTGTGCCAGTCCGGGAGGTCTGGCAACGGGCCGTAGCGCTGACGAAAGAGGTCGTCCAGGCGACGAAAACAGCGGGGAGTGGAGTGACCGATCTTACCGCAAACGAAGCCGCGGCGAGGACCGGTCTGGATCTGGTACTGACAGCGCCCGCCGCCAGAGCTACCACTCGACACACCACCACGCGCCCGGCCACCGCCAGCGCCGGGCCACCCGGGCGGGAGGACACTCGTCTGCCGCGTCTGCGACGGCTGCTGCGGCTGCTGCGAAGGCTGCGACTGCGGCGGCTGCTGCGGCTGTTGCAACTGCAGGGGCGGCGGCTCAGCTGAACTGGGCAGGGTCCCCTCGTCCGCTCCAGCACCAGACGACCCGACCCCACCACTACCCCTCCCGCACCCCCGCCTCCGCCTCCGCCGCGCCCAACCTTGGGGCGGCGGCCCTTCCCCGAACGAAACTGCGCAGCAGCAGCAGTCTCAGCCACTGCGACAGAGCCGTCGGAGAAGGTACACTGGGCGGGGGCACAACCCTGAAAGATAGGGACAGGCACGACACCGCTCGCCTGGGGCGATGGAGCGGTGACGGGTCTCTATCACAGTCAGAGTGTCTACAAAGTCAGTGAGGGTGAGGTCGGCGGGGGTGAAGGCTAAGGAAGCGGTCGCGCGCGACAGCAAGGCGGTCAGGGTGGCGGGTGGCAAGCAGGTAGAGGGTAGAGGTAATGGGCGGCTGGTGGGCTCTAAGCTGTGCGTCAGTGCAGGCGGCGCGCCAGGTCTCCTCTATCGAGCGCAGGTGGGCAGCGAGGTCAGAGACAGTGGGGAAAGAGGCAAGGTCAGGAAAGAGCAGCGGGAGGATCAGGCGACCCACCGAGGCAGCCGGAGGGGTGGAATAGCGCTTGATGACAGCATCTAAGTATGCCTGAGCAGTAGTGAGGGACCTAAAGCGAGGACGCTTGGACGGGGGGAGGGCGTTGCTAATGGCAAGCTGGGCGACAGCATCGCGGGAAAGCCAGACAGAGCGCGCACGGGCAGTGGCAGCAGTAGACTCACGCTCAGTGGGTGTGGGGTCAGCGGGCAGAATAGCAGGGGGGTCTGGGCAGGGGAGCGTACCGTCAAGATGTGCAGAAAGCGGTTCACCATCCTGCCGTTGGCCAGTGAGTTGGCGGCGGAGGTCGGCAAGCCACGCCTCGAACTCTAGGGGCTGACCTTCAGCGTTGAAGCGAAGCTCCGCCGCCATCAGGAACGGTCCAGTGCGCTGCAGGGCAGTGCAGCTAGGTGGAGTGCGGTGCAGTGCGGTACAGTGCGGTGCAGTGCGGTGCAGTGCGGTGCAGTGCGGTGCAGTGCGGTGCAGTGCGGTTCAGTGCGGTGCAGTGCGGTACAGTGCGGTGCAGTGCGGTGTAGTGCGATGCCAGGCAGTACAGTGTGATGCGAGGCGGCACGGAGCAGGGCGGGGTGGGGGGGAACCGTACCAGTGAGGAGGACGGGGCCGGGGCTGGCCCGACGGGGCCGGGCAGGCGCTACGGGGCCGGCTGGTGCGACAGGGCCGGGACGGGGCGACGGGGCCGAGCGGGCGCGACGGGGCCGGGCTGGGGCGACGGGGCCGGGCGAGTGCGGCAGGGCCGGCCGGTGCGACGGGGCCGGGCGAGCGGGACGGCGGCCGGGCAGGTGCGACGGGGCCGGTCGGCTGTGACGGGCCGGGCAGGGTGCGACGGGGCGGGCGGGTGCGACGGGGCCGGGCGGCTGCGACGGGGCCGGGCAGGGTGCGACGGGGCCAGGCGACTGCACGGGGCCGGGCGGCCGCGACGGGGCCGGGCGGGTGCGACGGCGCCGGGCGGCGCGACGGGGCCGGGCGGCTGTGACGGGGCCGGGCAGGGTGCGACGGGGCCGGGTGGGTGCGACGGGGCCGGGCGGCTGCGACGGGGCCGGGCAGGGTGCGACGGGGCCAGGCGGCTGCGACGGGGCCGGGCGGGCGCGACGGGGCCGGGCGGGTGCGACGGTGCCGGGCGGGCGCGACGGGGCCGGGCGCTGCGACGGGGTCGGGCAGGGGCGACGGGACCGGGGGGGGGGGTACTACGCGGCCCAGGAGGGGCGCTACGGGGCCCAGGAGGGGCACGACGGGGGCCCAGGAGAGGCGCTACAGGGGCCCAGGAGGGCGCAACGGGGCCCAGGAGGGGCGCGACGAGGCCCAGGAGGGGCGCTAAGGGCCTAGGAGGGGCGTGACGGGGCCTGGGAGGGGCGCTACAGGGCCCAGGGAGGGCCGACGGGGCCCAGGAGGGGCGCTACGGGCCCAGGAGGGGCGCGACGGGCCCAGTAGGGGCGCTACGGAGCCAGGAGGGGCGCGACGGGGCCTGGAGGAGCGCGACGGGGCCCAGGAGGGGCGCTACGGGGCCCAGGAGGGGCGCTACGGGGCCTGGGAGGAGCGCGACGGGGCCCAGGAGGGGCGCTAGGGGCCTGGGAGGGGCGCGACGGGGCCTGGGAAGGGGCGCGACGGGGCCTGGGAGGGGTGCTACGGGGCCCAAGAGGGGCGCTACGAAGCCCAGGAGGGGCGCGACGAGGCCCAGGAGGGCGCTACGGAGCCCAGGTTGAGCGCTACGAAGCCCTAGGAGGGGCGCGACGGGGCCTGGGAGGAGCGCGACGGGGCCCAGGAGGGGCGCTAGGGGGCCTGAGAGGGTGCGACAGGGCCAGTGAGGGCACGACGGGGCTAGGGGGGTCGCGACTGGGTGAGCGGAAGCGGTAGGTGGGGGATTCCTACCTACGCGTGATACCATATCAAATTGAAAATTGAATGTATGATAGAGTGAGAGTACACAAAGATATACCTAAGTGTTGTACTCTCTAAGAGGCGACCCTATACAGTCTATACAAACATGACAAAATACACATGTTTGACATATTTGGGGGGTGACCCTGATGAGACAGGTTTTTTTTCACGACAATGGCCTGAAATTTCAGCGTTTTTCTAGGAGTGAACTCTGATTGATAAGCGTGACAATGTAGTGAGGCCTGTTTTTCGGGGCCCGATCCTGATTCTTGTATAGCGTATTCCTAGCCCCAACCCCCCACCCGTGATTTTCGTGATTCCCCCCCAACCTCCCTGTCAATCACGCCGACTTGACTGTGACCGACCAGAATCCCGCCCCCTGGAGAGATTCGGCCATTCTTCATCCAGCACACAATACTCGGCAGTCTCATAGGCTGTTCGAAAGTAGCCAGCCACTGCTGTCTCCAGCACATACCGTAGGTGACGGTTGATTCAGTGCGAAAAAATTACAACACCCTGATTGATCAGCGTAAGATTTTTGCGAGGCCTGAAAAAACAGGGAGCTAAAGGAGGGGACCCTGAGCGATCAGCTTGCCCCAAAACGAATCTGAGGCCCTGGTGTACGGTCATTGTTGGACGAAGATCATGTATTATCCCATATGAAACGCTGCCTTTGAAGAGACCTAAGCAAGCTCACAATGCTCCATTTTTACTGCAGCTAGTCCAAATCATAGAATGGAAAGCTATAACAATATTCCAGTGATATAAAATCAAGCCTAGCTACAACTACCGTACGTAAAATCTGGTGAGAAAACTGCAGCGGCTACCACACAAGGCATCTGAAAGCTCCTCTTGATTGCAACCAGATTGCCTAAGCTGGCGAGAAAAGCTGACTAAAGCATCCCAGGCCCAGCTGACTAATGCATCCCTCCCCAGCTGACTAAAGCTGACTACAGCATCCCAGTCCCAGCTGACTAATGCATCCCAGCTGACTAAAGCTGACTAAAGCATCCCATAGGCTGATGCGCTACACTGCTGCAGCTGCTGCTGCGTCGCCCGCCTACAGAAGCTCATACACTACGGTAGAGCCACCCTGCTGTGCCTTTGGCTTGCCTGCTGCTCCAGGCAGCTCCCGCCAACGCGTGCATCCTCCTTCCCCACCCTGCTGCTTGATCCATCCCTCTCTCTCCTTCCCTGACACACTCTAAGCCTGAGCATCTTCCAAACCACTCTGCACCGTTTGGGACACAGCTCTCAGCCTTCAAACCACTCCGTGCTTGATCCGACCCCCCACCCACATAGTCTACGCCTGAGCCTCCTCCAAACCACTCTGCACCGTTGAGATGCAGCTCTCAGCTCTTCAAACCACTCCTCCGTTGCTTGTTTGACCCACTCCCAAACCCTGCTCTCCCCCCACTCCTCCCCACCTTCATTCGCAATGTCTGACTGCTGTGCGTACTGCATCAGCTCCCCCCGACAAGCTGACTTTGGAAGTCGATTCAAAAGTCTGCTGCGCGCACTGGAGGCACCTCCTGCAGACTCTCCTCCTCTCCCTTAACCGATCCATCCCTCTTTTTCCCCCACCCAACTTACTCTAAGCCTGAGCATCCCTCCAAACCACTCTGCACCGTTGAGAGGCAACCCTCAACTCTTCAAACCACTCTCTGTTGCCCTGTCTGAACCCGCCCAGCCCTTGCTCCCCACCCACTCCTCCTCCCCGGCAATGAGCTCGTCTGCCACACCCTCGTCCGCGATGTCAAACTGCTGTGCATACTGCAGCAGCTCCTGCAGACTCTCCTTCCGCGCTCAGCATAGTCACCTCCCGGGCCAGCTCTGCCTTCTCTCGTAGCAGACGCTCCACTTGCATGCGCAGCTGCCAGGGGAGAAGGGGAGAGGGGGAGAGCGGATACACAAGGAGAAGGGAGTGTGAGAGAGGGATGTGCATACTGCAGCAGCTCCTGCAAACTCTCCTTCTCGCGCTTCAGCATCATCACCACCCGGGCCAGCTCTGCCTTCTAACGTAAAGACGCTCCACTTGCATGCGCAGCTGAGGAGTTGACAGGGGTGGGTGCGTGCGGGGAGGTGGGGATGGAGTCTCAATCGATGCGCCAGCTCTGCCTTATCCCTCAGGAGACGTTCTACTTGCATGTGCAGCTGCAGGGAGAGAAGGGGGGAGGGTGGGGGGGAGTGGAGGATTGAGTCTGAATCGATGCATCAGCTCTGCCTTCGCTCGTAAGAGGTGCATCTCTTGCATGGGCAGCTGACGAGAGGTGAACAAGGGGGGTGAAGGGGGAATGTGAGTCTGAATCGACAGGCCAGCTCAGGTGTCTCCCTCCCTCAACCGAGGCTTCACTCGCACGCGAGGCTGATGGGAGAGAGGGATAAAGGATAAAGGGAAAGGGCACAAGAGGAAGCACATGCATACGTGTGATGTGATGTGTGTCTGTGTGTGTGTGTGTGTGTGTGCATGCGTGTGTCCTTCCTTCACCTCCAGCAGCTCCTTCTGCTGCTTCAACTCCTCCCCCTCTTTCTAAGAAGAGCGCCCCTACAAGCAAGTTGCTCATTCAATGAGGGCAGGCTCGCAACAGCAGCACGGGCACGGCTCACACCCAACAGCAAGAGCCATGGCTCACACCCAACAGCAAGAGCCACGGCTCACACCCAACAGCAAGAGCCACGGCTCACACCCAACAGCAAGACCCACGGCTCACTTCCAACAGCAAGAGCCACGGCTCACACCCAGCAGCAAGACCCACGGCTCCACACCCAACAGCAAGAGCCACGGCTCACATCCAACAGCAAGCCACGGCTCACACCCAACACAAGAGCCACGGCTCACATCCAACAGCAAGAGCCACGGCTCACACCCAACAGCAAGAGCCACGGCTCACCACCCAACAGCAAGAGCCACGGCTCACATCCAACAGCAAGAGCCACGGCTCACACCCAACAGCAAGAGCCACGGCTCACATTCAACAGCAAGAGCCACGGCTCACACCCAACAGCCAAGAGCCACGGCTCACACCCAACAGCAAGAGCCACGGCTCACATCCAACAGCAAGACCCACGCTCACACCCAACAGCAAGAGCCACGGCTCACATCCAACAGCAAGACCCACGGCTCACATCCAACAGCAAGAGCCACGGCTCACACCCAACAGCAAGAGCCACGGCTCACATCCAACAGCAAGAGCCACGGCTCACACCCAACAGCAAGAGCCACGGCTCACAATGAAGGGTCTTCCTGCGAGTTGCGCAGCCCCTCGTTCTCCACCTCCAGCCTCTCCACCTGCTGCTTCAAGTCCTCCACCTCCTTCGCCAGGTCGCTCTCCTCCTTGCGGGACCCCGACCGCACGTACCGCTCACTCTCCCGGTTCTGCTGGCCACACACAGGAAGGGGGGAGGTGGGGGTTGGTGGGGTGGGGACCTTGAGGCGCCTTATGGCTCTTCCACCTCCTTCGCCAGGTCGCTCTCCTCCTTTCTGGATCCCGACCGCACGTAGTGCTCAAGTCTCGGCCCTGCTGGGGCACAAGGGGAGGCGGGGAAAGGGGGGAAGGAAGGGGAGGGGGGGGGGGGGGGCGGGGGGCGGGCTGTGAGGCCTAGCTCCTCCAGCTCCTTCGCCAGGCCGCTCTCCTCCTTTCGACGAGGTGCCCTGCACGCACATAGCGCTCGCCCTCTGGGAGCTGGTAGGGCAATGGAGGGAGGGGAGAGGCTACGGCTCTCCCCCAGCAAAGAGCAAGGATCCCCTGGGCCGAGGCACCCTGCGCTCGCCCTCTCGGTGCCGGTGCGGGGCAAAGCGAAAAACAAAGCGAGTGAAGGGAGGAGATGAGACGAGCTGGGCTTTCCCTTCACTCCTCGAGTGATCCCTTCTCCCGCACTATCACCCTATCCCCAGCTTCCCCGCTCCCTCGCTCCCACCTCCCTCTTCCTCTCTACTGCCCTCACTCCTTTCCCCTCCCTCAACTCAACCCCCTCCCTTCCTTCCTTTCCCCAATCCCTTCTCTTTGTCGTATCTTGCTGACGCACCTTCCCCAGGTTAATCAGCTCTTTGTACCCAAGTTGCTTGGGTGATTCCGGAGGAGGTCCTTTAGCGGCCACTTCCTCCGCTATTTCAGGCAGCAGGCGGAATTCACCTGAGGGAAACACGGGGAGGGGGGAACATGGGGATTCGGGAGCATGGGGGGGGAGAAACACAGGGAGGGGGAATACAAGGAGGGGGCAATACAGGGAGGGGGGGAATACAGGGAGGGGGAATACAGGGGCGGGGAACATGGGGAGGGGAGAACACAGGGAGGGGGGGAAGATGGGGGATGGGGGAACGCAGTGACTGGTAAGCATGGAAGATGACTTCTGAGGTGCCTCAAAGGGGGAGACTACTTTGAGGGCCCTCAAAAGAGGGGAAGATGGGGGATGGGGAATGTGATGTGATGACTGGTGACGATGGGGGATGGGGGAATGTGATGTGATGACTGGTGACGATGGGGGATGGGGAATGTGATGACTGGTAAGCAGGGGAGATTGGAGAGAAGTGGGTAATGCGGGCGACTACCATCGCTGCCCCTTCTTGCGAATGCAATCTCATTACTGCGACATTCACGAGCTGGCCTCATTACAGCAGTCACCCACATTTCTGTCACACTTCTTACAGTCACACTCACCCATCCCAGCCACACTCGTTACAGGTCGCAATCAACACAGGCGCTCTCACCATGGTGCCCTCAGCGGCACTTTAACGAGGAGTGGTCCTTGTAGAGGGGGCTGGTCCACTATTGCTAGTTACTCGTTAACAGTCACACCCGTTACAGTCACACTCACCATGGTGACCTCTGCGGCACTTGAGCGAGGAGAAGTGGTCCTTGTAGAGGGGGTTGGTCCACCAGCGCTGCATCTTCTGCGAGCTGAAGGGGCCCTGCACCTCCCCGTGCATGTCCACGTAGAACCACTCCTGGAGAAGCAAGGGAGGGGCGCAGAGAGGGGCGCAGAGAGGGCGCAGAGAGACATGCGAGGAGGCATGCACGTGTGAAGGGGGCTGTGGGAGGGGAGGGACATGCGAGCTGAAGGGGCCCTGCGCCCCGCCATGCATGTCCACGTAGAACCACACTCCTGGGGGGACGAGAGGGGCGGGGTCACGGAGAGGAGCAGGAGGGGAGAGGGGCGAAGAAACACGGGAAGGGGCCCTGCCCTGCGCTTGGCTTCCCCGTGCATGTCAACGTGCAACCACTCCTGCTCCGAACAGATGGCAGTGGAGAAGAGAAGAATCCGGAAGCCAGGGACGGATACACGGAAAGGGACAGAGGGAGGCAGAGGGAGGAGGGGAGGGAATGGTTGGCATTGGCCCGGCTTGGCCTCACAGGAACACATTCCTGCCTGCCGGGCCCTCCAGGGGAATAAAAGAAAAGGAACAAGCCTTACACAATTTACAATCAGAAGAATGCGTTTTGTTTTTTAGAATTCTAAAAAACAAAACACATCACAGGAACACATTCCTGCCTGACCCTCGAGGAGAATAAACGAAAAAGGAACAAGCCTTACACAAGTTATAATAAGACGTTACGAAAAAAATTACCTGCCCGGGTGTCCTGAATAGGTTTGTGATTGGATCGTCCTGAGCCCCGGGACTTCCGGAAATCAGGCTGACGACTGGTATGGCAGCTGACGTGGCGGTTGCAGGGGACCCGTCTCTCCGCGGCGAGATCCCCGCCAGAGCGGCTGCTGACGCGGCAGTGGCTGCTTCGAGAGAGACCGCTGTTCGCGAGGGGGTCCCTCCTGCTGCTGCGTCGGGGGCGGGCTGGGAAAGGAGGGGAAAGGGAGGGAAAGGAGGGAAAGGAGGGAAAGGGAGGGGAAGGGAGGGGAAAGGGAGGGAAAGAGGGAAAGGGAGGAAAGGGAGGGAAAGGGAGGGGAAAGGGAGGGGAAAGGGAGGGAAAGGGAGGGGAAAGGGAAATCAATGGGGAACGAGAGTGAGGATGGATTGGGGCGCAGCAGTTGCTGTTCGCGAGAGGGTCCCGCCTGCTGCTGCGTCGGGGGCAGTTTGGAGGGGAGGTGAGGAACGGCAAGAGGGGAGAGGGGCATGGGAGACGAGGGTGTGAAGGGTGGTAAAACGGGAGGACAGGGCTTAAAGCAGAAGGAGCGCCGGGGCCTTATTTTCCTACCTACCCTCCGTCGTCTGTTCAGAGCCTCTTTCCTCAAACACTCAAACACTCAAACACTCAAACACTCAAACACCCACCTGCACGTGTTCCCTTCACTCACCTGCACGTGTTCCCTTCACTCACCTGCACGTGTTCCCTTCACTCACCTGCACGTGTTTCCCCCTTCACCCACTGCACGTGTTTCCCCCTTCACCCACCTGCACGTGTTTCTGGCGCGCAGCAGTTGTCGCAGGTCCAGCACGTCTCGCAGCGTGTGCCATCGGTGCGTGCCCTCCTTGCGAACCTGCACCCGACCAAGCAACCCACCGATAGTCACATTTTGCGGTCAGTGGCAACAGGATCACACGCGCCGTAGCAACACCGTGAGCAGCACAGGGAGGGAACAAGCGGCCAGCAATCAGAGACTACTACTATTCTCCTCCATTTTGCAGGGTGTTTCTGAGACTTCTAAAAAACACCCTGCAAAAACGCATGCGCCGTAGCAACGTCGTGAGAAGCACATGGAGGGAACAAGCGACCAGCAATCACAGACTACTATTATCTCCTCCATTTGCCATAGTAGGCTTGTCCGAACGATCAAGCATATGCAAAGTAGGACGTCGTCGGCCGTACCAGGAGGTCCGGGAGGAAGAACCAGGCCTTACCAGGAGGTCGGGGGTGAAATAACCCTTTTGAAGCGCCTGCGTCAGTTGGAGGAGCGTTCGAGGCCTGAATGCAGTAAAGAAGGAAATGAGATGAAAACGAGGAGAGGAATGAGGAGGAGGGAAGGTGGCAGATGGATTCGACGGCTGGCGCTCAACCGAAGAAAATCGGATCAACCGCGTGAGACCGCGACGAGACCCTTTTGGAAACGCTCCTGTGCATTCAAGACGCATCCCAGCCGTCCGATGAGAGACACAAGCACCGATCGATAGACAGAAGCACCCGTTAGATCAAGACAGGTGCACCGTTGGATCAAGACAGGAGCACCGTTGGATCAAGACAGGATCACCGTTGGATCAAGACAGGAGCGCCGTTGGATCCTACGTACCCATGCTCGCCAGCCCAGTCCTGGTAGAACCACTGCGGCACGTTCTGCCCCGTCGATGCCTCTGATCCCCGCCGCCGTCTGGACCCCCCATGCTCCCGATCCCCGTCTCTCCACCAGCACTCTGTTGGGAACGGGATTCACGCCCGATCCACCCCACCAATAACCAATAGGTTGGGAATGCGATTCTTGTCCGATTCACCACCACCACCACCACCAATCGGTCGGGAATGGGTCACGTCCGATTCACCGCACTAATCTGTTGCGATTCAGCTCGAAGCCTTATGTGTCGACTCAAACAGCAGTCTGTTGGGAAAGGGTTCACGTGCGGTTCACCACCACCAGTCTCTTGCGATTCAACCAGAAGCGTTTCAGCGATGAGTGGGTCCTAGCACGAGACTGCTGAATCGTCCTAGCACGAGACGCGGACGAACCTAATTGCTGGCGCGAACGACGATTCTAGGAATGCCTGCGAGCACTCGACGCAGGGTGGTTCAGAAAATGGCGGGATTAGCAATGCGAGCCCCGCGGAGTTCCAGCGAGGGAGAAGGTGCCCGGGGAATTGAAGGCAGGAAATGCATTGTGGAAGCAAACACACATAAAAGAGAATCTCTGTGGTCAGGGTGCCAGAGAGTCTGGCTGGATTCTTCAGATTTCAGATCGGTTTAATTTGGTTGAGCTGGCTGAGGGAAAGTGGGTTGAGGAATCTGGAACCAAGCATGAGGAAGGCATGTGGTGGTGGTTCTGTAGATGTAATGGGGGGAAAGCTCGGCGCGCCAGCAATCAGAATCATGGTTGTGGCGGCGATTGCAGCGCACGAGGATAGCGCGCCAGAGCACACAGGGGAGGATGCTTGTGGTTGGCAGTTCCACCGGGAGCTCCGCGCTCCCAGCGCACCCTGCTTGTGGCGGAGATAGCACCGAGAGCTCCGCGCGCGAGGTTGGATGGATGAACGATGTTGCTGCGGCCCTGCGGGGCGGCGATTGCCATGGCGAAGAAAGTGGCTGAGCCTGTTGCGGTGCGGACGCTTGCCCATTGCCATTGGCCCACCAATGATCAGTCGCATGATGCCCATGTGACCATCATGTGATACGACCATCCTGAAGCAGCTCATTACAAGATAATTGTACAGCGAAGTATCAAGAATCTTTCCAGATCAATATGGTAAAAGCAAGACATGCAGCATAAAACCAATTTATGACCTATCCAGTCTTCTAGAATGGACTCTCCGAGCCCAAACACTAAAAGCCCCAACTATCCAAAGGAACCCAGAGACACACGCCATCACCCAAAACGCAGGGAGCTTGGAAGCAAGCGCAGTCGACAACAGAGGGCCTAGCGCATACCCGAATACACCAGCACCATTGTACAGTGCTACCAGCACCGCCACATCCATGTGCTTATCTCCTCCCCTCCTTTCCCCAATCGAGCTGCTCCTTGCATACCCACTACTAAGCAGATTCTGCTCCTCATCGTCTTCACTTTCCAATGCAGACACCAGGGATGCAAAGCTTGGAAGCTCGGTAAGAGCATACCCCACACCATTCGCCGCCATAAGAAGGTAGAGTGGAACACGGGCCGCAGAACATGAGATCTCCTGAATCATAACTATGGGAAGGGTCCATGCGAGAATGGTCATCCCCACGGAATTTGTTGCTCCTGGCGACAGGCTCCGCACATAGAGAAGCACCGACGAAGCCAAGGCGACGAGAAACGAGAAAAACGCCGAAGGCGACGAGAGAGCCGCCCGGGCGTGGGCATGCAAGCGAGCCTGCACATGCAAATGCGCCGTGGCGTGCGCGTGCGCCGAGACGTAAGCTACAAACGAGTACGCCAACCCGTTGAACGCAAACGCGAGGCCGACTGAGGCCGGCCCGGCGTCGCAGGTGTCGGCGAGGAAGAAAGGGAGGGTGGCCTCTAGAGCTCCGAAGGAGAGGGTTTGGACGGCGGTGGTTAGGAGCACGGCTGTGGCGAGGCGGTTACGGAGGGCAAAGAGGAGCCCTCGAATGGTGCTGCTGCCCCTCTGCTGCTGCTGCTGCTGCTGCTCTTGGTGATCGTGCTGCTGGTGGGAGAGAGAGTCAGTCGTGCTTACACTGCTGCTGCTGCTGCTGGTTCTGCCAAAGGTGTTGCCAGCACCGGTGGCACTACCAGAGTATGCGCTGCTGTAGCTGCTGCTGATGTCGGCAGCTGAGCTGGCGGTGCCAGCTGTAGCAAGCCCTTGCGCAATGGATCTGGCAGTAGGGTGGGAGGCATTGCTGGTGGGAGCACCTACTGAGGTTACTGCAGCAGACAAGGAAGAGGGGATGGCAACAGGAGGGGGATGGCAGGGGCGCTTTGACTCCTTGCTGCAGTGCTGGTGGTGCTGGTGGTGCTGGTGGTGCTGGTGGATGACGAGGGAATGACGGGAGCAGAGGCGGTGGAGTTATTGATTGAGCTTGTACTGCCGCCCCCCCCAATATTAAAAGCCCTCTCGATGATGTCAGCAGCAGGCTCTGCAGCACCCGCTGCTGCGCCTCTTGCAGTCATCCCCGCCCCTGCTGGCACTGTAACCTGGCCTTCTCCCCACCCTGCGTCAAACCCTCTTTCAGCTGCTGCCGACGACCCATGGCTCATGGCATGGTGGTCAAGGCCATGCTGCCGGTGGCCCATGGCATGGTGGTCAAGGGCATGCTGCCCATGGCCCATGGTGGAAACAGCCACCGGAGTGCTTTCCCCTGATAGAGGCACCTCCTGCCACTCCCCTCCGTCCGCCTCTGTGCTTGCAGCATCACCTGCAGCGGCAGCAGCAACTGGTACTCTTGCATCAGTAACAACTGCTGCAGTAACAGCAGTAACGCCAGTAGCAGTGGTAGCAGAACCAGCAGCAGAAGCTGCTGCAGCAACAGCACCAGCAGCCGCAGCTGTAGAAGTTGCAGCATCAACAGCAGTGCGAGGAGCAGCATCGGCCGCAGCTGCTGGGGCAACAGGGGCTGAAGGAGGCAGATGGGCCGTGCCAGGGGCGGGGTTAGGAGGGCGGATGAGGGGGACGAGGGTAGAGGGAAGGGGCGCCTGAGGATCAGAGGTGCCGGGCTGTGGAGTGGCTTGCTGATCCTGGGAAGGAGCAGGGGAAGGAGCAGGGGCTGATCGAGGGGCTGATCGAGGGCTGATCGAGGGGCATGGGTGGGGCCAGCTGCAGCAGAAGCAAATGCAGCCGCTTCAGAACTTGTAGCAGGAGCAGCTGTAGCAGGAGCAGCTGTAGCAAGAGCAGCTGTAGCGTTAGCTGCTGCCGCAGCAGCAGGATCATATGCAGTGGCAGGCAGTGGAGCAGCAGCAGCTGCGGAGCTGGAGGCAAAGGTCATGGGTTCAAATCTCCGCGTCAATGAAAAGCCTCCACCATCATCATCCGCTTCCCCTGAGGGATCACCTGAGAGGTAACCTGAAGGGCCATCTGAACCTTCATCCTGGCGAGACGCAAACGACGAGAAGAACGAGTCAGGCAGGTCGGAAGGTTCCGGAGGCGGTTCTACCCCTAGCGCCTGGAAATTTACCGTCACCTGCCCGCTGCCTGCCTGGAAACTTGGATCGACAATGGAGTCCGGGTCTGGTTCTACTGTGGCCATGCGAAACGCAGCAGCAGTAGCAGATGCAGGATCGGACGCAGGGGTGGAGGAGGATGAGGAGGTATTTGCGAGAGAGTAAGAGGCTGGATTCTCCCCCTGCTCCTGCTGCTGCTTCTGCTGCTGCTTCTTGCGCCAGCGGAGCTGAAACTCGAGGTGGTCGAGAGAATGCGCTTCAGGGGAGAGCAGGAAGGAGAGGAATGCGAGCACCGCCGCAGCGACCGCCGCAAGTAGATAGGCGATCCACGGGGAAAGGTACTGGTACGCAAACGAGCCAAACAGCGGGCCGATCAGCGCGCCCAGCGACGCCCACCCCAGCAACGACCCGATCACCCCGATAAGCAGAGAGGACTCAGAGGACGAAGCAGAAGGGCCCGATGTGGGGGTGTTCACGCCGCTGCTGCCATCCATGCCATCGGCAAAGGCGGTGGGGAAGTGGGTACCCGTGAGGGAGTAGTCCGCTGCTGCGGATCGGAACACCTGGTCGCTGCTCCGAACCACGAACAGACCCTCGGATGCCGAACCTCCGCCTCCGCCTCCGGCCGAACCTGGAGCACCGACCCCTCCAACTTGCGCTCTTCGCTCCCCTCTCCCTCCTGCTCGTCTTCCTCCTCCTCTTCCCTCCCCTTGCTCTCAACGCCCCCCTCTTGCTCTCATTTCGGGCCCCATTCCTCCTGAAAACTCCCTCCAACCCTGACCCTCTATTTCCGGCTGCTGCTGCTGCTGCTCCTCCTCCTCCTCCTCTTCCTCCTGCTGCTGCTGCTGGGAAGGGGTGAGTCGCTCGTAAGGGGTGTTGCTTATGCCGCTGAGGTTGCTCGTCCCTCTCCTCCCATCCCCCACTAAACCATAACTTAAGGACGTTCTGCCCCGGGCAGTCCACAACCTGCCCGAGCCCAAAAGTTTGTGCAGCCCCTCGCTGCCCCTCTGCGCCAGCTGGTCCACCACCTCGTCCAACGACGCGCCGGACCCGCAAACCCGGGCAGCAAAAAAAAGCCCGAGGCTGTGCACGGATTGGGTGACAATCCCCTGAAGCACCAGGGCAGCGGCGAGCGACCCCGCCCCAGCGATGGGAAACGCGAGGGAGAGAGAGGCGAGGGTGGAGAGAGAGAAGGTGGCGGCGAAGATGGTGGGGACAGAGAGGAGGAGGAGGAGCACGCCGATGGGGAGCGAGGCGACGAGGGAGGTGAGGTTGCGCGCGGCGAGCAGGAGCGTGACGGCGCGCTGCGAGAGGGTGAAGCGACGCGCGTAGCCGGGGAGAATGGGGGCCACGGAGCTCATGGTGGCAGAATCCAGGAAGGTTCCGGCTGGAGTGGGGCGCGGGTGAGGGATGGGAGGAACGGGAGAGAGGAAAAAAAGGTGGCGTTTTTTTCTCGTTTTTTCTCCTTTTTTTCAAATCACGCGTTTTTTCAGCCAAGTCAAGAGTAGCGGGGAGGGGGGAGGAGGGGAGGGGGGATGGTCGCGACCGAGCTCGTCGTGGCAACGTCCAGGAAGGTTCTTGCTGTGGTGGGGAGGGGATAAGAGGAAAGAGGGAGAAAGGGAAGAGAAGAACGAAGGGCACGACGAGCTGAAGTGCTGTAGCTAGACGCAGGGAAGCCTGTAACGGGAATAGGGCAGCAACTAGTGACATGCAGGGATGTCTTGTATAGGGATGCGAAAGGCAGCAAATGCAGCAAATGCGGCAAATGTGGCGATTGCGGCGAATGCACCAAGTGCAGCGAATGCGGCAAATGCGGGGATTCTAAGCACCCCGATATAAAGCGCAGGAATCGCTTCTCCATGGAGTTAGGCCCGCCGCGAGCTTGCAACAGCGCGGCGCGTTGGAGGCGACGCGCCTCAGCCGCGTCGGCATCGCGCGGCGACGTGAAGCCCGATCCGACTGCCCCCGCACTAGTGCGACCCGAGGACGACCGCATCGCGTGAATCACTGGGCAGCGGATAATTAGTGGGTGGTCGCCGACGGCCCCGGAGTCAGACTATGGCGGGGCGTGCCTAAGGTAGTAGAATGCGCCTGTCCATAAACTGGCGTATGGAAAAGTTCGTCCCGAGGAGCGAAACGACAGGGAAACGTGGCGGATGTGATGAACTCGGAAACTGCTTTTGAGTCGACTCAAACGCACGTGGCGGATGTCATGAACTCGGAAACGGAAACCGCATCGAGGAACACAAGACGCAGCACATTGTTGTGACGTTCGATGGTACGCCGGGCGCCTCACAACGGTAGCAGCCTGGCCTATTACTTATTATCACTAGAGCAAGCACAGTCTTCGGGCCTGGCATCGCCTCGCCAGGACCTAGAAGGGCTTCTAGTGATTCTGTATCAGTGATATCATATCACCAACTTTGTGCATCGTGATGCCGACTTGATCCAAACAGATGTCCACCTACCCATCCACCACCATCTTACTCCTTCACGCGATTTTGACAGCCGCGATACCAGCTCAATATTGAAACACTGAAGCATTATCTTGAGCATTCAATATGTTATACTGATACAGAATGCTCGATGTGTTCACGAAAGCGGACGTCGGGTAACCCGACCGGACTTCGAAGTTTGAACATTCAAAACTTCGACCCCGTTGTCAAATTCGGGCTCCCCGACAAGCTGCCCGAACCTCAAATTTCCTGCCTCTCGTCCAGACCCTCCCTCTGCCCGAAACCAGCATCCGCCGTTCGATCGACAGCAAAATGTACCATTCACTTCGTTGAACCTTGGGAACTCCGCTTCTGATTCTTCTTCCAATCCAACAGCTGAAACAGCCATTTCTCAGTCGAGTCAAGACTCAAGACCCCCAAAGCTTCCCTTACTCCATTGTCGTCCTCGTGACGCCTTCGCTGTAATTCCCAGCCTCCCCGTTGCCTGGTCAACTAGACACTCAGACCCGTAGTAGTATTCTTGGGAGCTGCTATGAGCGTGTCAACTCTAAGTCTTTCCCCTGAGAGCTGATAGTGTTGCCTTCCGAGCACAAGCGTCAGGCAAGCTAATTACTCCGGCGGTACCGATAGTACCGCCATGGCTCAGCGGTCCCTGTGGAGATTCTATTCCAAGAAAGAAAACGCGTCTGTTCCGCAGTCGTCTCAGCCGCTCCTATCAAACCAGAATCCGCCGGCGAGCAGCCAAGGACCGTGGGGATCTACTAAAGACCCCGCTAAAGCGGTCTCCGATAGCAGTCCGTTCAAGACTCCACGGAACCCGTACGCTTTCAGCGGCACGAATGAGGGGACGGAACCGAAAGGACGCGTGATCGCTGATCAGCCTTCCCTGAATAAGCCTCCCCCGAGTCAACGGTCAACGGGGTACTCTGATCCGCGCAGGACGGAGCCAGGCGACGCGGAAAACGGTTTTGGTACTCCGTCGGCAAGAGCTGGGATTGGTCGAGATGGTCGAGAGGGTCGAGCTAGCTTCAGCCCACGGCCTCACTTCACTCCGCTGACTCCTGGGATCAAGCCATGCGTCCCGAGAGCGAAGAGAGGAAGGGACGATGCAGATGTTGACGACAATGCGAATGACTACAGCGAGGGGCTAACGGCTACAGAGCAAGAAGTTTGCCTCCGCGACGCAGCCTGAGCGGTCTGCTGGCGGAGCATCTCAGCGCCCTTCGTTTATGTCACAATCTGATATGTCACAACCTGATGTGCCACAACAGCATGATGACCGGTCCAGGCGCGCCGAGTTTCTTCGGGCATTGGGAGCAGATGATCTGGAGGGCGGGCAGGATAAGAATGCGGGCATGTGGGCCGAAGCCCGGTCGAAATTCGAGTGGCTGCTGCCCGTAAATATTCGGGATGGGAAAGGGAGGAGGCCTGGGGAGCCGGGTTACGATTCGCGAAGTGTAACCGTCCCGCGTGCGATTTTCGACAAGCTGTCAGCGTCACAGAAGCAGTACTGGAGCACGAAATCGCGCTACATGGACACCATCCTCTTCTTCAAAGTGGTGAGTCTTTCCGAACTCCTCCATTCCTTCCACTTTTGAGTCGACCCAAAAGCATCTCGACAACGTGTCGGCGTCGCAGAAGCAGTACTGGAGCACGAAATGTCGCTACATGGACACGATTCTCTTCTTTAAAGTGGTACGTGTTGCGGAACACTCCTCTCCATGTCCCAGTTGACTTCTGAGTCGCCTGGAGCACGAAATGCCGCCACATGGACACAATTCTCTTCTTCAAAGTGGTGAGTCTGCTTAACTCTTCCCCTCCTTCTGCCTAAGTTTGCTTAGAAGCTTCTTCGACAAGCTGTTGGCGTTGCAGAAGCAGTACTGGAGCACGAAATGCCGCTACATGGACACGATTCTCTTCTTTAAAGTGGTGAGTCTTGCTGAACACACCCCTCCCGTGCTAAAGGCTTTACGCCCAGCACGTCCCAGCAAGTTCCAGCAAGTTCCAGCAAGTTCCAGCAAATTCCAGCACGTTTCAGCACGTTCCAGCACGTTTCAGCACGTTCCAGCACGTTCCAGCACGTTCCTTACTTCCAATAGGCCAGATCAAGGCCCAGGTCTGTCTCCGTGTCGGGCTCGGAGGTCGAATTTGGATCAATGTTGGAAATCTGATGCGTCCCTGCCACGTGTCATGACCCTACAGGGCAAGTTCTACGAGCTGTACGAGGTGGATGCTGAGGTGGGCCACAAGGAGCTCGACTGGAAGCTGACCGTCAGTGGAGTGGGCAAGTGTCGCCAGGTGGGCAGTCTTCAACTTCGGATTATGTCTCTAGGAGTAAGATGCATCTTGGGAGATTGAGTTTCAGGTGGGTATCACGAACGTGATGATCATCACCGCATGTCTCCACACACTCGTCAACAGAAAGGTTGTTGACAGGTTGCTGACTGTCTTTGTTTTGCATTTTATCTACTCACATTCTCACTTCAAGTGCTATCCTCCGCAAACCCTCCGAACCAATACTGACAGCACTCTCTTTCCCCCCCTCCCAAGCAGGTGGGAGTAGTTTGGTTGTGAGAGACGTCTCAAAAGTAAACTTTCTTGCGCACAAATCCTCGGAACCAATGTGTTCACTCTCTTTCCTCTCCCCGCCATGCAGGTGGGAGTGCCCGAGAGTGGCATTGAGGACGCCGTTCAAAAGCTCGTGGCCCGGGGGTGAGCCCCACTGCCCCTAGCTCATGCTCTGCAATGTTCTTCCCACTTGCGCTCTGTTTCTCCAGCCATTTGAAACCACAACGCGCCATGTTCGCTGCCTTAACTCCTTCTATGTCCATCCTTCATGTCCATCCCTTCATGTCCATCCCTTCATGTCCATCCCTTCATGTCTCCCTCATGTCCATCCCTGTCCATCCTGCATGTCCATCCCTGCATGTCCATCCCTGCATGTCCATCCCTTCATGTCCATCCCTGCATGTCCCATCCCTGCATGTCCATCCCTGCATGTCCATCCCTGCATGTCCATCCCTGCATGTCCATCCCTGCATGTCCATCCCTGCATGTCCATCCCTGCATGTCCATCCCTGCATGTCCATCCCTGCATGTCCATGCAGTCCATCCCTGCATGTCCATCCCTGCATGTCCATCCCTGCATGTCCATCCCTGCATCCGTCCATCCCTGCATGTCCATCCCTGCATGTCCATCCCTGCATGTCCATCCCTGCATGTCCATCCCTGCATGTCCATCCCTGCATGTCCATCCCTGCATGTCCATCCCTGCATGTCCATCCCTGCATGTCCATCCCTGCATGTCCATCCCTGCATGTCCATCCCTGCATGTCCATCCCTGCATGTCCATCCCTGCATGTCCATCCCTGCATGTCCATCCCTGCATGTCCATCCCTGCATGTCCATCCCTGCATGTCCATCCCTGCATGCCATGCTCCATCCCCATCCCTGCATGTCCATCCCTGCATGTCCATCCCTGCATGTCCATCCCTGCATGTCCATCCCTGCATGTCCATCCCTGCATGTCCATCCCTGCATGTCCATCCCTGCATGTCCATCCCTGCATGTCCATCCCTGCATGTCCATCCCTGCATGTCCATCCCTGCATGTCCATCCCTGCATGTCCATCCCTGCATGTCCATCCCTGCATGTCCATCCCCTGCATGTCCATCCCTGCATGTCCATCCCTGCATGTCCATCCCTGCATGTCCATCCCTGCATGTCCATCCCTGCATGTCCATCCCTGCATGTCCATCCCTGCATGTCCATCCCTTCATGTCCATCCCTGCATGTCCATCCCTGCATGTCCATCCCTTCATGTTCCATTCGCTGCGTGATTGGTGAAGTTGGTATGGAATGGAGTTACCCTGCATCTCCTTCCCTTCCCTCTTGTGCACATCTGTCCTCATCTGCCCGCTACAACGCCGGTCTCACTCCATCCCCCTTTCCTTCATCTCTTGGCCCTCTTCCTCTTCCTCTTCCTCTTCCTCTTCCTCTTCCTCTTCCTCTTCCTCTTCCTCTTCCTCTTCCTCTTCCTCTTCCTCTCCCTCTCCCTCTCCCTCTCCCTCTCCCTCTCCCTCTCCCTCTCCCTCTTCCTCGTCCCCTTCCTCCTCCGCCGCTGTCAGCTACAAGGTCGGTCGCATGGAGCAGCTGGAGACCAGCGAGGAAGCCAAGGCAAAGAGAGGGCCAGGGGCGGTATGTGACTATTCATTCACGGATGTGACTGTATGCAGGCAAGGTATGTCACTGTGCAGGTACGCACGCCATGTGCTCACTGGCTTGTGCTTGGAAGGGAGAGGCTGGATGCATGATGCGCTCATCAGCATGATGCTCTCATCAGCATGGGCGCTCGCCAGTAGGTGGCGTGGCATGTGATTCTAACGATGCAACCGCCCCTTCTGTATCGTGCGTCTACTTCCCTGGCAGATGGTGCAGCGCCAGCCCACTCAGATCCTCTTTCTGAGGCACCAGCCTTAGTTGCTACAAACGCTCTGGCAGACACGCGTTTAGCGTTCAAACGCTTGCGTTTGAACGCAAACGCCAAACGCACCCAAAAACGCAAACGCTCACTGGGATTTTTTCCGGTCTGCCCCCCCGAAAAAAAACACGAGATTGTCGTTGGAGAATAGCCTTAAGGATAGATGATTTATATGAGATGTGAGGATGCTGGCTTAAATGTTAAGCACAGTTATTTTTTATGAGACAAAATGCTTGCTGGTAGAACCCCTATGTTTCCCCCCTCCCCCACAGGAATCTTGAACCCCTGCCTGGGTAAAAATTTTACCCCTGCCCGGGCAAGCGTTTGCCTAGCGTTCACGTAAACACTGCCGAGCGTTTAGCGTTCAAAACGCCAAACGCGTTTGTAGCAACTGAGGCACCGGCAGCTCACTCAGCTCACCCAGATTCTCTTTTGCATCGTGCGCCCACTTCCCTGGCAGATGGTGCAGCGCCAGCTC